AGGGAAAGTGTCTCTGAAGGCTCAAAATAAGTTTTTATAATTTCTAACTTTCTCAATTAAAAAAAGAATAGATCAGATCATGACTCACTTGGGGTACAGGCAAATAGTACACCATACTGAACCAGTTAAAAGCCTTTATTTCAATAGTTTACACAGGGAAATTTGAGCCTGGTCGCCTCACCGCTGCACCGCCCAATTCAAAGCTGCCACAAGAGAAAAGTGCAAGAGGGGCAAAATATATAAATAAACTAGTACAACTGAGTCAACACTCTACATATACCGCGGAGAGTCCAGGGAATGGGAAAACAAACAGTGGAGGCATGTGCAGGTTCACATGATGGCACTGAGAGTAATCGTTCTAACCATACAGCTAAATCTGTGATGTAGCTATGGCGCCTAGCTTCACTAACTTCCTCCACTGTGTCTCCGGGGACTGCTTGCATGTATCGTCACCCTCCTCTGAAACCACCGACTTACCATGACATCACCACTGCTGCCCCTAAAAAATATGACTAACTCGAACCAGAAAAAAAAAGGACATTTGATTACGTATCATCTTGTGCGACAGTGCGCCCACACGACTCTCCAGGCGTCTCATCGTGATCTCTCAGAGCGCCGTGGCAACCAAACCTGTCTGTGTCAGGCTTGAATCACAAGTGGAAAAATCAACAAGGAAATAAAAAAAAAAAACTGTTAAGCATCACACTTTGGTCATTAAGGTTGTAATTTCATGTTTACTGCTATATGTTTCTTGCTATGTACATCATCAATATTTATACTGTCATCATCATCAGCATCAGTATGCTACTACTGTTGTGCCTCCAGCCAGCGCAGTCAGTCAGTGAGGCAGACAGAGGAGCCAGACTCTGCAATGCTGTATTGAGCTCATATGCTATCACTGACCCGAAACAAACTCCCTCAAGACTCTGTGCCTAGATGCAGCCAAGCCAACAGTGGCAGCAAAGCATGGTCACTGAGGCTTGACCGCTTTCATTACCCAATCACATTTACTAATACTTAATCTAACCAGGGGAAGATAATATCGCTACTCTTTGCCAAACTCAATATCAGACACGCAGGGCTGACCGCTCTCTCTGGTCAGCTCATTTCAAACGGCATAAAGCACCCCGACTGTTTCAGTCTCTCTCGTTACTGATGACTCGCGAGCAGGCAGCTTTCTTTCGACCTTCTTCACAAACGCATGATCAGATATTTTTCGCCAAACTCCGCCAGACAGCTCTCCCACGGCGCATTCAGGAGCTCATGAGGAGGGAGTGGAAAGGACTCGCCTCAGTCAATCTTTCCGGCATCCCGCTCCACTGTAGGTCATGATGAGAATAAATTCCTCAAGGGAAATCTCACCATTTCTAATTATGTCAATTCAATGGATTATTGCATTCATTTTGTGTCATTAACCATTGCCATTCCTCAAACTATTATTTAATAATTAATGCCCGGACAGTCATCATGATCCCCAAAGGGCCAACACCCAGGCCTGGGCGGGAGACTCAATCAAACCAATCACTGCTAATTATATCCACCGCGCCGTCATAGGCAGCTTAGCATTTCTGCTGTGGATGGGTCAGTGCTCATGCATCGCCAGCCCCCCCGGTAACTGAGATTCAAATTGTGCCATATCATGCGCAAAAACAGAAACTCAGATCTGTGTCCCCGCGGGTCAGGCATGGCGTGAGCACGTGGCGACCGGCAGGGACAGGGATAGGATCCCAGTGTCTCAAAAGGGAGCTTGTCATGCTGCATTATTAAAAGGGACTGCTGGAGGGTTTTCCCACAATTTTGAGCCTCTCATTGTTGATCAGTGACTCTCTCTTCACCCTTCAACCTGTGTACATCAGCAAGTCTTGCCGCCATCAATCATTGACACCCTTGCCCTGTGAAGAGATCAGCGACCAGCTTGCCCTGATTAGAGCAGTTTTAGTGTCATCTATAATCTCCGTTTCTCTCCGGCTCTTCCATTAACAGAAATGAGTGTTTGTGCATGAACTCAAGCATGCACAAATGCACACTCATCTTACAGACACCACATTTAGGGCAACTGTTACTCTCTTTGCATTCTAATGTAGCAGCAGAGACGTCCCTCAGAATTAATGCAGTCTTTTGTCCTTTAAAGTACAGTAAGGGGACAAGGAAAGGCAAGCACTTTAACCAGATCGCAAGCATCCTGGCTTCATTTGATTCACAAATCAGTGACATTGAGAAATATTTTAGGGGGTAATCGTATGCTGGACTCCTGTCGTGCCCTTTCCCACCCCGTGTGTTTGTTTTGAGAGGATTTGTTGTTACTTTTCCACATCTCCTCTGGATATAATCTGCAATGGCTTCATGATTCCAACTGCGCTGGAGCGGTGGGGGGCTGAGCATTATCTCAAAGTCACACCTTCCCTCTAGGCCAGGTGTGCAGGTGTAATTTACCATGTCCCTGTTAACCTGCTTGCTTGTTTTCATCAAGCTCATCGGCCATGCATAAGTGGTGTGCCTCGGAAATTAAAGAGCAGCCTGGCCTGATTCCTCAAATGACTTGAATCGCTCAGCCGGTGCTTAATTTGCAACACAGTAAGGAGTCAGCACCCAGTTTTGTGGGATACATGTGACTATGTGTTCAAAGTAATGGTTGACAGTTAAAATGTGTTAACTGTGATCAGAAGCTTTCCTTGCTTATTATCCTCAGATTCGTGAAAAATATCAGATATCCTTCATTTATTTATTCTGCAGACAGGTTGCAAAGTAATTGATGGGACATGCTTAATTGGGAAAAGGAGGCTGGATGATTTTAACTTTCTTACAGGGAAAAAGTTGGATTTAAGTAAAGGACTTTCCTCTGGCCGACCACAAAGAAGAGCTTGAAGCCATCAGTGAAACAGCCTAAACAGGGAGCCTGTTACAGGGGCAGACTTGAAGGGGGAATAACCTGAATAAAACATTCCAGCACCCATTGACTAATCTGTGTTGACTTTCCATTTGAATCATTGAACCATTTTTATTTAAATGTTTTTAAGGTCAAGAGGTGTCATGCCTTTGGTCCTTCAAGACTTCAAAGGAGATTTGACCTGAGTTGAGCATGTTTTCCTCATGAGTTTACTCATTTAGTACAGCTTGTGCCAAAATGTCTTTGCAACCAAATTCCCATGAAAGAAAAGAAAAAACACAACAAACAAGTGCGCAATTCTCTGGATTTCCTTTGAATGACCAGATTCTCAGGAAATGTCTCTCTTTAAGGAAACAGCCCGACTTTACATTTCAACTTGGGTAACTCCTTGGTTGGGGAGTGGGAGGATGACAGCCACAAAGTTCAAGACGAACAAATTTCACTGACATTTTTGCCTCGCTTTTGCAGCAGTGAGATGTCTTGATATTTGGAAGAGCTGCCCTGAGCTCGAGGACCTTGCTTTTAAATGTGATATCATGTGACAAGCCTCTCATGAAGCCAGGGCCTTGCAGTGACTGGTGCTGTTGCATTCAGTATATGATCAGCTGGTAGAGACACCTCACTTCCTCACTATTTAGCATAAAACCAAGAATATAAAGGATAACATACAAATCTTTACAGGAAACATAAAAGCTTACCATCCTCTTAAAGTTGTACTTCTGTAGCCCTTTTTTGGATCTATTGGAAAGAATATTCTCAGACGCAAGGGCTCATAAACGGTATGTGTCATGGTCATTGAGCTACGATGGTGGGGAAGTTTACAGGTAAGCGTTAAATGTAATATCGGTGTGTGAATAAAAATCACAGAACATAAAATGCAAGCAGCCAAATAGCAGTGATTAATTGGCCTGTGGGGATCAGGAAATATGTATAATGACACAGGCCATCTGACAGCTATAGGCCTATGTGTTAAACAAAAATGTCTTACATCACTCCTCCAAAATGTCCTATATATAAATGATCCTTGATATTCTCCCTTCCTCTCATGCAAATCTACCGAAACTTGAAGTGTTGGAGGGGTCTCTCAGTGCTTTGCCCCCCCAATCCCTCCTTGTTAGACCCCATACACACAGCAGCTCAACATTACCCCCTACATTTTTCTTGTCTAATCCTGCCCCAGTGCCCCATTTCACCTTCCAACACCCCATTAATAACTTATTCTCTCTCTCATAAACTCAGGAGATCATCCAGCTGGTCCACAGCACACACACTGCCAGCAATCTCCCCCCGCCAGTCCCAGCCGCTCGGATTGCTCTGAAACACTGCACATTAGCATTCAAATCCTCTCATAACCGTATCATTGTGTTGCAGATAGAGGCAGTAGATCTTCATTCATCAGTCCTAATCTATCTGCTCCTTGTTCTCAGCCGAAAGGGGCCCCAGGCTCTGACTCAGAGCTTAACCCACCGCGAATAAGCCGCAAGGTGCCTGCGCATTTTCTTCCAAATCTGGGGTCATCAGCAGGGGCCAGCGGGGGGAAATGAACCCCAACACACAAATTAACACTGCAATGGGGTCCGATTAGACCGGTTTAATTGAGTATATTTAAGTGAAAGCGGCACGTTAACCGGATCAAGTAGCCCTGTCAACAGCTTGTGCTACAGTTGATGCTCCTCTTATCGCCAAGGTTAGATTAACTTGTATTGCCAAACAAATATGAGATAAACAAAAAGAATAACAAACAGTCGATAAAAGAAAAGTTTTAACTGTGCATATGGGCAAAATCGGATAATCCAAATCAATTTATTTCCCCAATTTTTGGGGGTCTGTCTCGTCATACATGTAATTCGTGGATATGAGCCATGCAGTCAGTGAAGAGGCCTGTTCCAGAATACACACGAGGATAGTTCACACATCATATGAGGTCATGAATGCGTATTTCCATTACAACGCATTTAGTAGTTTGTTGCGCGTGGAGCAAAATGCACAAACTGTCCGCATGCGCGCGCACAAACACAAGCCAGACAAACAACAAAATCAGAGCTCGTGAATTTGCATCTTCACTGTCTGTCTGTATGTCATCGAAAGCAACAGTGAGTGAGGAGGGACTCACCTTTATTTTAGGATGCAGCAATCAAGTCCTGAAACACATCTCGCTCAGCACGCGCCGGCCGGGTACTCCGAGAGCTCTCACCTTCCCTCAAATAACAGCTATTCCACTGCAGAGCCGCCGCCGACGCTGTCTTCTTCTCTGCTCTCCCTCCCTCTCCCTCTTCTCCCTCCTCTGTCTCCCTCACTGTTTCACCTATCTCTCTCTTTCTCTCTCTCAGATTGATTCACCCCTTCCAAGTGCTGCGCTGCCACCGCTGGTAATGAGAATTGTCTCAGAAATCTTCAGGTGGATGGAACCACTGGCCGACGGCAAGGGGACGTCACACTGCTGCTGCTGCTGCTGCTGCTGCTGCTGCATCAATGGAACTTTTTTGTATTGATATTGTTATATATATTTGTACTTTAATACTTGCAAAGATAATGCAATGATTTCTGTTGCAATCTGCAGACATATCACCATGCACGTTGCACACTAGATCCAGACAGCACTTGGCAAAGGCTTGATTATTCATCACCTCAAATAAGATGACAAACAAATGCATCTAATAATCATACGAGTGATCTTTTTTAATTATTTTAACTCAAATTAGTTGAGATGTTTTTCTACAGTGCATTATTGCATTTCAATGCTCAAAATGTCATATGTTCTTCCTTTCTCTCGTTTTTCTTTTGTAGACTTCAATCCAGAGGCACACACACACCTGTGTCCATATGGTCATATCATCTCTATAATATGATGATGGTGGTGTTTACAGCTTGTTACAGGAACATTTGCTGCTTGGCTGGTTCCCTTGGCAACGTTCAAGCACACACAGTGCTGAGCCCCACCTGTACAGCACTGCCTCATTGGATTGGAGTCCTGCCTGCCATTGCAGCTCCCATCATATATACGGTATGTATACAGGACATACAAGTATGATTGATATGCAGAGATGGAGGTAGTGACTGCAGAGGAGAGGACAGAGACTGGATTTTACAGAGACCAAACCAAAAGAGAAAATATGTGATCTTAAAAGCATCTTGGCTGACTCCCCATGAGATAACAGGAGGGGGTTACATAATTAAAGGGGGAGTGAGGTAAGGTTTAAGGTCAGGTTAAGGTTACAGGTGTGATCAGGGTATAGTTGTCGTTCACCTCAGCAGGATATTAACATGAGGAAGTGAGAGAGTGGTCGACTGTCGGTCAGATAGCAGATGGAAAGAGGAGGGAGGAAAGAAAAAATGTGTGTGTTGGGGGTGTAGGGGGGTGTGGGGCTTTTTCAGACGGGTGATTAGTGCTGGATTGATAACGTTCTATATCGAGACTCAAAGGATCGCTCTTTCTTACATCCTTGTACCTCAACGCCAGCTCTCCATCACAGGCACGTGTTCTCACACACATACTCCTCACACACGTGTCTTCCTTTCTCACACTCACAATCACACACACACTCACAAACACACTCACACAATGGGAAACACGGTAATAACTGACCCGTACATATTCAGCCTCGATGCAGCAACAGGGTGGCCAACCTGTATCTCTTTATTATACGATGCAAAATGCACACTCTGCACGCCCTTGGATGCCCTTTTCCACTTTATGCTCAATATGTTTTCACTAACTTGACCCCCCCAAAGCCCCCCACTCTGCAGTGAGTGTCTAGCAGTGTCCACAGCCTGTCCCAGTCTTCTGTAATTCTAACAACGGCTCTCGCTCAGTGCTTTTGCATTGCGTCTTCCTCTCTCTCTCTCTCTCTCTCTCTCTCTCTCTCCCCTCCCCTCCCTTGCTGCCTTCCTGCCTCCCTCCCTCTCTCTCTCTATTAAATTTCCAGTCACACAACAGTGCAGTGGATATCCCTCCCTCTCTCTAACTCTCACACACTCTCAACCACCACATCCCTGCCTCCTTCTCTCCCTCCCTCTGTAGTCTGTGGAGTTGTTGTCGTCGTCCCGGATCTCTCCCTATCGCTCGGTCTTGATATTGACAGTTCTCTGCCTCCTTTACTTTGAACCTCTCAATCTCGCTCACGCTTGATACAAGGCTGCTCCCTTTTCACCTCTAGTTGTCTCATCCCTCCTACCCCCTTTGCCTCATTATTTAAAAGAGCCCCCTCACATTTCCTCCTCTTCCTCCCCAACCCACTCTGTTTGTATCTGTGTACTGCAGTGCTGCTCAGGCTATATGGTGTGGAGAATTACCTCCCCTCCTCTCTCCTCCTTAACTGTGGTGGGTGTGCAGGTCTCGCACCGCCAGGCCAGCCTTTAACTGACTGATTGAGTGGACACCACAGGCCTATGAATGAATAAAGATGGGAGCCACTGTGAGGATTAATGCGTCTCACATGAAGACAGAAAGCTTGCCGTCTAGTATTTCTGCCTCTGCCCTGTGGATGAGGCTGCTCTCTCCGCCTGTGCTCTGCCTTGTGTTGCTGTGTGTTATGCTGTGCTGGCATATTGGTTGAGAGACGTTCAGGCGCTCTCTTTGCCCTGGGTTATGTTCAGGTCCCGGGGCCTCGGTGGGTGAAACCTCTGCCATCGCCATGCTGTGCTCGAACGCCGTGGTGAGAGGAAGTGGGGCAAATACGTTGTGCTGTTGAGAACATGCCGTCTGCCTTTCTCCTCCTGCCGTTTCAGCATCTCCCCCCTCCTTGCTCACGCGCTATCTCAAGTCTGAACTCTCCACAGCCTCCGAGGCCCTGACTGAGCCCTGATCCGTATCTGATGGTGAAACAGCATGCCACCGGCTGCAGAGATTCCAACCTGTGTGATACCAAATTGAACACTCGGCTTTCGTGACTAGCAAGCAAGGGTTGAACGCTCCAACGCTTGTATACACCCTAAAACGCTGTGTTTTCCTCAACAGAGAGAGAAGCTCTTCTAAACAAAGAGTAAACCAAGCTTGTATCTCCACCACTAAAGCCAATACTCCTCCCTTATCAGAAACAACCTTATCTGGCAACTGCATCCATTAGGCCTGATAGCACCATTGATCCTCCTCAACCAAAGCCAAGTGGACCTCAACCGGATGCGGAAGACAAATCCAATTTGAGGTGTTAAATGCTCCTCTGAACCCTTAATCTTTCCATGGGCAGACTAAACTCTTCTACCTCCACAACCATCACAACACATATAGGCCCCGTCCACACGGAGATGAAACAGGTTGTATCCGCTACAGTTCTCTATTGGCGCGTTTCCACTACACGGCCTCGCTCGGCCTCGCTCGGTATGGCTAGGCCTCGTTAGGACTGGCTCACTTAATGGCGCATTTCCATTACAGTTTAGGAGCTGGGGTAGTATCTATAGTAACGCAGTGTAGGCGGAGCCGTGACATCATCTTCAATGAGAACCCCAGAAAAACAACACAGCCATTAGCTGTTAGCACTCAGAGCTCACAGCTCCTCATATATGTTCAGAAACTAGACAAAAGTTAAACAAGTACAAACCACAGACTGCCTGTGTCATGGCGAATACAGTCGCTGCTTTATTTATGTCTGTATAGGCCGTTGTTGTGAGTGTGGACGGTCGGAGCATATACTGCGTTAGCTTAGCCAATCTCCATTTAGAAAACACGCATTTTAAAAGGTTTTTCGCCTGCCGTCTGTCTGCAGACTTGACAAAGCATTAATTCATGGTTTTTACTAACCGGTATCAGTATGTTGTTACTTCGGCATCATTTTGAAACGTGTATTACAATTAAATCACGGTCAAATATGTCCATCTTGTTGTAGTTGTAGCCCCCTTGCCAGCGATGCTCTCTCTAGTTTAGCATACTCAGCCCGACTCAGCCTCGTTGTCTCTGGCCCTAGACCCACGATTTTATGAGGCCAGAAAAACTGTGAATTAGGACCCGCCGGCTGGTACTAGGCCAAGTGGAAACGCAACCAAAGACGGGCCGCTGACGTCACAGCCCTCTTAAACCGTGCTCCGCGCTGTAGTGGAAACGCGCCATTTCATATAGACGGTTCGTCCACACGAGGCCGACACGGAAACGCGGATAACGATAACGATAACGATAACGGCTCCCAAGGTGGGTAGATCTGCTGACAAAAAGCTCTGGGGGGCCAAACGGCTCCGTGTACACCCTATACGATAATTTCCTGATAACGATGACGCATAGCCCCGCCTCTCCCCACCTCTGCTGCTCACCCCCGCGCCATTGCTGATGTGTTTCGCCAACAACAACAACAATGGCGGATCACAGGGTTGCTTTCGTGCTCCAGACGCTACTGACCATGATACAGATGTTAGTGCAAAAATCTACAGCTCCTCTACCACAACCATCAGCAACAAGTGGACATGGAGAACTACATGAACTACATAAATAAACAGAAGGGCAACCAAGCAACCATGGCAACCATGCTCGGGGGTCTTATTCGCTGCTTTTGGTGTATTTTGTGGCGGAAGTACAGCGCCACTTACAGGCCCGGCATATGTACTACAGCGTCTCCAGCGGGTCGAGCGGTCTCGTGTGGACGGACACGTTTCCGGTGCCGATTCCGTGTGGACAGAATACTTTTTTGATATCGACCTCGGTTCGTTTTTCGTCTCCGTGTGGACGGGGCCATAGTCTCTTTGTGGTGAGGCTTAATAATAAGAGTGTCTCTCCTGCTACTCCATCGCTCGCTCCTGTCAACACCTCCTCCGGCAGGGCGTAAAACAAACTCTGCCCCCAGGCCTATAAACCCCATTATGCTGAGCAGCACTTCTGCCACCAGGCTGTATAATCTTAATTTCTTGCCTATAGTCTCCCCTAACTGGCCCTCTAACTGGTCCACTGCCTCTGTCCTCATGCGAGGAACAACAAACAAAATGCCATACAACCAACACGCAGGAGCATTTTAATTTCAGGCCACTGTTGCTCTGACCTAAACCATTCCACAGTAAAGAGCAGCCAAACAGCTCAGTCTTTGGTCAAATGTGAGGGTGTGTTCAGGGATGTAATGGGAAAGGTTAAGGGCACATTTTTTATGCAAATGTCATAAATCTATACTATTCATACGTAAGGACACACTCTTAAGCTGTATGTTGGGATGCTTAATGCATGACAGGAGGTATTTTGTTCAACTTTCTTATTTTACAGCCATTTCATTTAGTGATTTCCATCTCTGTGCTGCATTTTTCCACTACTATTTTAAAGAATACCTCAATGTTGTTGAATTATGTGCTACGGGTGTAAATATTTAAGTTACAGCAACAGTTTTGCTGTATTGCATTTGGTACAGAGGAGAAAACATTGGGGTAAAATTGGTCACCAATAAAAAAATGTTGTCCTACATTTGTCATAGAAATGTCAACCTTGCAATGCAGATGCAGGGGGGAGAGAATAAGCTTTGGTGTAAAAGGCAGAATGGTTCAACTTTTTTTTGTGACTTTTGACTGTCTCGTGCCTGGCAAATATCAATAGAGTTCCACCAATCCCATGCAGCTAATAATGGTCAGATCAGAGTTAATGGTATCACAAGCGGCTTGAGTTCAAATTTGAATTGCATGACCACATCAATTTCCTCCTGAAGAAAAATAAAGCGTGCCTTGATCTTCACACAATTATGAGAAATGTATACAGTAGGATCAGGAAACTTGGAGATGTTTATGACATAACACAAACCCTTAAAATGTGTCAAATATTATTACATTTTGATAAAGTCGCTACTCACAGCCAACAATCTTCAGCTCTCTGAGTGTATATACCCTGATGGCTTTGATGGCTCATATCAACAGCCTGGCATCCCCATACTCTCACAGCAACCCCCACATGACACCCTAGGGGACACCATCTCCACAAGTCCACAAAGCACATGTAGACAGCTGCCTCCACAATGGAGGCTTAGAACATCGCCCACTCAGTTACAATTTCTTCAGCCTACCCAGAAAGGAATGAAAATTCTTGTCTGAAAACACGCGTTGAAGCCCACCTGAACTGGGACCAGCCAGACATTCCCAGTTCCCCCTCACTACACTTCACAGGTCTGTCTGTCATTCCTGATTTCAATTTCAAGAACATTATCTCACAATCATGTTTTTCTTAGTATTCATACATTTTTGCTAAGCCATCATTTTAAGATTTAAAGTCACAGCTTTGAAGTAAAAGCCCCAAGTTGTCTTCATTAAATCGCTCACACGTTAATATTTCTAGCCTATGTTGGAGTAGACATTAGTATCTCATCCAGTTATAGTGGCAGCGCTATGAGAGTCCAGTGCCGGGGATTCAAAAATGGGTCAAAGGTTGACACTTTGGACAAACATTAAGTCCTCTGTCGTTTATTTCTATCCTGTCAAAGTTATATTAATGTATTTCAGAACATTAAGGATTTCTACTTGTAAAAATGTTATAACCTAATGGATCAGTTTTTTGATCGGACCACAGGTTAATTCATTGAGTTTTTGAGATGTATAAATAAAATGTGAACCTACACAACAGTTTCACCATGAAGACTAATACCATGGGCCAGGTAAATACAGTATAATGGATCCAACTGGAACCAGAATTTTACTTATAGAGCCTCATAAAAATAATTAAATTAGTATAGCCTACGATGCTAGGGTGTAATTAAAAAAAAAGTTGAAATCTAATTCATTAAATATTGATTTAAGAAAAACATATCATGAAATATATTTGCTGAAAGACCGTCTTGAATGGAGGTCAGTTTAGACCTCAATTTATTTACAACAGTTCATCACATGGACCTGTGAACATTGTTTTCTGTTAATAAAAGAGATACTGCAAAACTTATGAGCTCAGACAGGCGCTAATAGCTGGATAGTGAGATAGAGGCAGATAGATGGAGAGAGGGAGAGAGTGAGTGAGAGGAAGATAAAGTGAAGCTAAGCCGGGCTCCGAGGGCCAGCCAGTGATTAAGGGATGGGAGGGATGAACACCAGCCACTGAGGGACTAGTGTCTATCTGTTTGAGTCCATGTGAAAGCGGGGTTGAGGAAAAAGCTCAGAAACAAGAACCCACTGTCACGGTATCTTAGCAACCGTCTCTGTCTCCCAGGTGACAGGGACTGACATCACTTCCTGTTGGTGAATGTGTGTGCATGTGTGTGAATACACAGTGTCCAAGTAAAAAAAAAAAAGACCCACAAACCTATAAGTAAATGTGTCATGAACGTTAGTGTGAGGTTGAGCAAAGTTCCCTTGTTTCTCTCCTCGTGCACGGACATCTCGGCTCCGTCTCTTCAGCAGCACCCATCAGTCACCATCAGGTACAAGGATAGAGTTTGTTAATTTGAACTAGCATGGATCGTGTGTGAATGTGAAAGCACCTTTCAAAGGCAGACTGTGGGCATATACTTAAGAGTCTGAGCCATGTGCGCATGCGATCAGCCTGATTGTACGTTATGCCAAGAGAAACATGGCCAACTGATGCCATCTGGTAGGACTACTTGGCACGAGGGGACTCTCTATGGTTCCACGACATATTGGAGTAGTTAAAATTAACACTGTGACACTATTTGGCAGAAAAAGATACTGAACTATCTATTACTGTGACTATTTCAGTCTCTCTCTTACCTTAAGGGTCCCAGCAGCATTCCCACAGGGGGGAGGAGGCTGGACTGGCTGAACATCACAAGGAAACATCCTTATGTGCATCAACAGGAAAGAACTCTTCACAATGATGCAACTTCTTCAAAGAGCTATACTTCATCATTTTATTCTCATGAGACAACTTTATCAAAAATAAGAAAAAAAGTAAAATCTCAAAGAAAAAAAAATAACACTATTTCATATTGTAATGATAATATTCTAAAAAAAACACGTATAGAAAAGCAGAGTTTCCAGAAGCATCACATCATTTACTGTTTCAGATGGTTTGGCGTCTTTAAGTGAGAAGCATGGAGGATTAGCATGCTGTTGGTTTGACCATTTCCATGAAAAACGTTCATTATCTGCCCCTAATTAACTTCAGCTTTTCAGTCCTGTAAAAGAAAAAAACTTAAAACTATTCATGATGTGTCCCTTAACTTTGTTGAACATTTGTAGCAATACAAATAACAGAGCGGATGCATGTGTCCAAATTGGAAAATTGGATGCAGAGTTTCAACAAAAATGTCAGTTCCTGACTCCACAATGCTCAATCAGATAAGGTCCATGAGGATTTCATCGTCCATTGCACTGGGGGCTGGGGGGGCCGCGCCTCTCTGACCTCCAGACATCAGCATCTGACCTGCACACAGGTTGGGGTGTTTGGGGGTGTAGGGGGGGGAAGAGGAACAGATGTTTAAATTAGGGATTCTCTAAACTTTTTCAAAAATTATAATTTGTGAAGAGAATACTAAAAGTATTGAAATGGCATCAAGTGGTTTTGAACCTAAAAAAACGAAACTACTAAGACTTTGTCAATTTTAGAATGTTTGGCTATGAACCTCATTACCCTTTAAAGAATACATTTTCAGGCTTATATTTTAAACTTAGATTTTCACTTGAGTCCCTTATGTCTGAACTCTTTCCACCTCTGTGGGGGTGCTTGCTAACCTGGCAAGGGCTGCCTCCACTGGCTCTGCATTTGAGCCCCCCCTCCTGGTGTCGGATGGACCAACTGCTGCCCTAAGCCCTGGTGAGACATCATGCCTTGCATGTGAGACACCCCACCCTGCTGCAAGGACACAGAGACAGAAAAGTGACATTAACCTCCAAAAAACGCTAGACTTCCAGGAGAGAAGTTACTGTATGAGACATCCTGTGGCTGCTGTGCACTCTTACTGGCTGCTGTTGGCTGAGGAGGAGGCTGCGGAGCTGCGGGTTGGCTCCTGGGTTTGAGAGGCGGAGGATGGGACCCTGGGCTTGGGCCTGTCCGCCTTGTGCCACCTGGTTGGGTGGAGCACCTCCGACTGACGGCTGTTGGTTGGTTGGTCCGGTTGCTCTCATGGCCATCTGAAGGACATTTTAAAATGTTGTATTCCTCACATGTATTATGAATATGAATAAACCATCATGGGCTGCTGGTTTTGTGCTCTTCACCTCATGCACACTGCAAAGAGTTATGATAAATTAAAATATAAAAACATGTGCATGCATGTTATCAATAAAATGTGTGCTTCCCACAGTCGTGCATTAATTGGACAGGAGCAGGTAAAGTCAACACATGCTGTCCACACGCCAGATGCTGAGCATTGGGAGTAAAGGGACAGTATTTCTGTTTGTATGTACAACACCAGGTTCTGATGAGGAAACAGGATGCACACAAGACCTACATTCTGTTTAACATAATTAAAATACATTTTAAAAAGCAGCCTACTGACTGGTCATGTTTATATACCTTTTATCAGCCAAATAAAAACAAGGACAGATAAAGGACATGGAGAAATGGGCAATGTGCTGGTACATGTGTTACAGACTAACCTTCAATGACGGAAGATTAATTATAACTAATAAGTATATAATACTTTAAAACCCTTACCATTTCAATGTATTGCGTAGGGAAACCCTAAAAAACATGGTGTTTATATGTTGGGGGTCTCACCATGTTGTTTTGCCTCTGCTGCTCCTCCATCATAGAGACCTGACTAACAGGGGGCATGCCCACCACCACAGACTGGACCCAGCACAGATCAGAGTGGAGGAAGGGGTGGTGGAAGTGTGAATAAAAAAGGAGGACAGTAGAGGAAAGGGTTACCAGTAAGGCATGCAGAAATCAGCGGGCACCTGGGCAGTAAAGGTTTCAACAACAGGCAGCGTGAAAAGAAAACTAGTGCGAAACCTGGGCAGACATGCCAGCACAGAATGCGTTAATTTACCTGCTGCTGAACGTTGCCGTGGGAGACTGGAATTGGGCCAGGAGGTCTGTTGAGGAAGTTCTGGTTGGGGGCGACCTGACCAGGCTGCATCGGACCTGCACCGCCCAACTGCTGCATAGAAATGGAGAGAAAGGTATGTAGGTCGCTCTGGATTAAAGCATTATCTAAATTAAATGTAAATGCATTGTAAGAAAGTGAAACAGCAGCAAGCATAAGAAACATTTCATAACCTTTATTTATCGTCTCAGTTTGCATGCCCTTCACTCTCACAGCCAGTCACCTTTAATCTTATTTGATCTTAAAGTTGTCCAGAACAAATGCATTGTTTTTTCTCTTGTTTATGTTAAGAGCTTAATGTGACTACACAACTTCTTGAGTAGGGGAGAGCAATAAGGTAATTTCACACATTCATAAGCAATAAATAAATACATAAATACTCATAATCCGTATACATTAAATACTTTACAGCTAGATACACATGTTCTCATACTAGCCGCAGAGAGATCCCTTCTTTAATCAGGTTCAATGTGAGTGATGGGGGACTAAATCCTTGTTTTGTGCAAAATTGAATTCTGTTGTTCAGCAGAAGCTAATATGAGGCTTGAGCTGCCTGAGTTGGACAAATCAAGTGGGTATCTTCTGAGGTTAAAGTCTTTTCAGTACAAACGTTGCTGTGAATTCTTGCAGAAAACAGTGTATTTTGTCCAACATCACTTACACATAACTCTTTCATGATGGCTTGTCCGGATTATTATTTTTTTAAACCAACTAGCAAAGAATGTTAACCTGTCCTTTATGAAGTGTATAACCAACAACCCTCTTATCAACCCTCTGATCTAAACATATATATGTTGGACCGACTTACGTCATAAAGTCTGATATCCGGATATTCTTGTATTGTCATAATCAATCACAATCTGTCTTTTTTCGTCAACATTGTTATGCCATGCAAAGGGTGTTACCAAACGTATTCAACACACATATTCATGTTGTTCATGAGTGTGCAGATGGAAGTAAAAACAAACATAGTTTGGATACGATCGATGATGCACCATGGATACTAATCTTTAAACACCACCCGCTGAGGTGTTTGGAGTTCTCATTTTAAACAAACTCAATCTTGATGAATAAAGTGGTTAGGACAGTCGGGAGCGGGATAATGTCAGATAAAGTATCCAGTCAGAGTGAACTCTGAAGAGAAAGACAGGAAGCAACCTGTTACAGCGCCATTTTCTGCCTACACAGCTGCAAGGTAGGTTCTGATCACTCAGAAACATAACAGCTTTAACTGAAGATACACTGAGCACATTTCATCACACTTCTGTACTTAAAACAGCAATTTGACACCCAATGTACCTAAAGGTATGTATAGGATGCAGCACTGGTTTTTATTAATGTATAAAGCCATTTTAGGTAAGCTTCCACTCTACATATGTGTCAGATTTGCCCCAGTTTGCGACTCTTACAACCTCAGATCCAGTGCCTGGATACGGTTCCAGGTACCTGCTGTGCAGACTGAGGCTGGAAAAAGGAGTCTTTTTTATTATGGTCCTTGGTCTTGGAATGACCTTCAATCACGCCTCAAACTGACGGCACTTGTCTCTATAGCATGTTTTAAATTGAAGTTGTCTGAAGTCCTTACCTCCAGCTGCTCTTGCAGTAACAAGTAGTGTACCTTTCTACTATCTCTACTATACTTCCTACTGTCCTAATGTGCACAATGTAGTGACTGCTTTCTCGTCTTTTGTTTTCTTAGTTATGTTCTCTGTATTTTATATGTTTGTGTTATGTGTAACGTTGCTGCCTTCTTGGCCAGGTCAGCATTGAAAATGAGATTTTATCTCAATGTTTTTTATCTGGTTAAATAAAGGTTAAATAAAAAAAGGGGATGGGTTACTTTAACCTGAAAAGATACTAAAGCTGTCAGATAAATGCAGAGGAGAAAAAAAGTACCATACTTTTTTCTGGAAGCTAGTTGAGTAAAAGTAAAAGGTAACATAAGGAGAAAATACTCTATTAAAGTCAATGTTCCTCGAATTTGTACCTCAGTACAGTACTTAAATGCTCAACATTTGAAACCGACTCAGTGCTCCGGGGTTTGTGTTGCTGCGGTGGCTTTGGTTAGCACACTGAGGGAGAGACTAGAGGGATGAGCACAAATTATTAACTACAGACTCAGAAATGTATTGGAGAGATATCTTCATCTTGCATAATCAGATTTACCCTGAGAGTGTGCTAATGTACAGTGTTTTTCAACCAATGATAGTGCAACACATACATGTAGGTATTTTGAGGGAACGTACAGAACAGCTGCGGTTTTTTCTCCCGTCTAGGATTTATCTTCAGTCTTTAACCCACAAACCTGTAAAATCCCAGATTAGGGCTTGCATCCCTTTCCAGAGAGAAATATGAAATGTTTTCTTGTGTAAACAGAACAAACAACAATCTGGTTTCCAAAGAATGCAACTCCAGGGCTTTGCACAGAAAAACCTTAACTACTGGTCCAAATTGAAATTTTAATTACGTTAAGATTGCTGTAGCGCTTCCCTATTAGCAATGCAGCACTGAATATGTTACTCAAGAGCCAGGAAAAAAAAAACCTTCATTACAATTTCATGTCTTCTGCTTTTCTCTAAATGCACCGATGCTCTCTCACACACACACATACACACACAGACACAGCTTCAAGTTACATATAGAGCTGACGCGCTTTTGCAAAGACATAAAATTAGTAGGGTGAGTAAACAAGCGCTATCACTGCTGATGAGAGCAGGCTGCAAAGAGACATTTAATTTATCTCATGTAAAACAGATAACAAGATTCATTTTTAAATGGAGACATGCTGAGTCCCTGCGACTGGATGCTGCATTGTTTCAGAGCGATGCAGCATCCCTCCTCAACGGATGCAATAAGTTGGAGTGGAGCCCTGTGATGGAAAAGCCCGCTAATCCAAAAGACACATTTTAAATCACCCTGTCTGCAGGGATGAGGATGAGCAGAGAGGGAAAGTGACATTTCTATGTAATGTGGACAAGGCAGCAGCATTTGTAACCTGTAATGAACTCAGTGACGACAATTGGTCTACCTTTAGAGGGAGGTTGAAAGGAGGGACCCTTCCTCTAGATTTTCCTGCCCTGAAAGATTGGCAGACACTTCTGCCTCTCCATTCCTTCTCCTACAGTGAGTCTCATGAAATGTTAAGATCTCAACACCCTAAACAAAAAAATTATAATATCTGTCCGAGTTGAGCTTAGTTTTAAAAGGTCCCATCATATGCTTTTCTGGTTATTACCCGTCCCCTTGTGTGTTATGTAGCTTTTTCTGCATGCAAACGGTCTGCAGAGTCACAAACCCTCAAAGTACACCCTGTAGCGAGTAAAACTCTAACACAGAAAATACCTGTCAATGCTGCCCCAGAACGCCTCGTTGGAGATTTTTATTTTTCCATTTTTTTCTTCCGGGAAAGGTTGACGTCACTCTAGACCAAATGCACCAATTGGTCCAAATGGACCAATCCGCGGAGCTCCGCACACACACACACTCACACTTATCTTTTCTCAGCGGAGCTGACCAATCAGAGCACAGTGGGCTCATAGGGAGGGGGGGGCAGGAGCTCCAACAAGCCGTTTGGGACAGAGAGTGAATACACATACTATACAGAGATGCTGTATGAGAAACCAATGTGAGTTTGGAACATTGAACAATGTAAATCTATTCTAGTATACCTCAACAATGGAATTATGATCAGTAGAAATTGCCATGACATGGGACCTTTAAACCAAATCTTACAACCTTATACATTATCAAAAGATGACATTGAAACTACAGTGCAGATTCAGTTTTTAGGAGTTTTTTAACACACACGTTAACATTAATGTACTTTTGGACTGACCGGAAGCTGTATCCAGTTATCTTTTTACATCCATGGTATAAACACTAAAGACACTGCCCTATGTATCAAGAAGAGCTTAAATGTTGTGAAGATCTATGCATGTTAACACAGTATATTTACAAAAAGCAATAACCTAACACAGTACACCATATACAGTGTTACAGAGACAATTTAGTTAAGAATGCAATCAATTCAACATAAAGACTGCAGATGAATTGCACCTATATTTCCCTTGGAGTGATAATGAGGTGGGAGTGAAATGGTCATCTAATGTTGCAGTAGGAATTTGGCTAATGCTAGCCTCATTAGCCTCCACCAGAGTGAGAGACGTGAGTGGCTGCTGTGAAAGATACTGGGCAAGCTAAATGAAATGTCAATAACAATGCACCTTAATGCTGTAAACAATGCACCTCAATTCCCTGGTGCTGCTCTTTAATGCCTTCTCATTATCACCTCCTTTTGGTCTCCCCACTCCACACTGAAAGCTTCCTCTCTTTCCACCAGCTCCTGCTCGTATCACTACTCACCGCTCTGTGCTGCTGGACCTGCTTGTGATTGGTGATGACTTGCCGGATGCCATTGACGAAGCCGCTCTGATCGTTGGGAATGAGTCCCATGAATATTCTCTTTTTGGACGAGTAGAGCAGCATCAGCACCCTCACTTCACAGGGAGAAGTGGTGTGAGGGAAGTGAACGCATCCCGCCTGTAGGGAGGGTGGTAGGACAGATTAAAACCTTGACACTTAACTACTTTGTATATAGACTTTTTGCACTACTTTGTTGCATTGTTGGAGGAGCTCAGGTCAGAATAATTTAATTGCCATTTCTACACTGTAGCTTTGTGCATATGACAATAAAACCTTTGATCTTTTTTAATTTGAAAAACAAGCGACCCTGTGATAATTATCGGATAGGCTAAGGTTTGGGGACATAGCCTATTATTGAGCTCCTTTACCCAATCAAACATATCGGTTTCATGAATTAAATGCAAAAGATTTCAATCCTTCATAAGGATCAGGCAACAAGGCAGAGCTCAGCTGAATACTATTAATGCCTCTGCTATTTGTCAATGGTACTAACTGGGTTACAATGCACTACACTGAACAAATCATTGTGTTAGCCTTCTGGAAGAAATTCAAAACTGAACAATAAATATTTTTGTCTGATCTGATGGCAGAGTATGTTTAAAATCCTAACATCTGGCGCAGAAGTGAATGATGTATGGCCTGGGTCCCCCTCTAGAGTCCTGCACATAGCACTGCATCACAGCTTCATGTTCAGAGCAACTACTGGACAGAGGTGGGAGCTGCACTCAGTTCCCACTCATGGAAAATGTATTGAGGAATACTGAATGATGGATAAGATTTGGGACAGGGAGAGAACAAGTATTCTCAACAAATGTAGTTTTGGACAACTTACAAAGCCGTTGGCCATAATGCGGTACAGGCCTTTCAACGACTCCATGTCTTTGTTGGTGAAGAGAAACTGAACCATTCGAGAGTTTCTGAACAGGTGACCTAAGGTTGTCTACAGAAAGAGAGTAATTAGTAATGCAACATTCATAAACAAAACTGAAGTTATATGTACTAAACAAAGGCTAAAAAGTGTTCTCACCAGGAGTTGTTGTGGAATCAGCTGCATGATGAGTTTCTGTGGCCACTGCTCTGTGTTTCTGTTAAGAGACAGAATGGCATCTGTTAAAACAAACCACCCTTTACGAGATACAGTCCTAAAGGTTTGATTGGCTACTCACAGATTTTCCCCTTGGTTAACGTGCACCTGACATGGCAGAGAACGCGTCAGTTTGGTGGTTGAATCCATCGAAGCGGCTTTAGGCTTCTGCAGGAAAGGGGTGGTGAGACGACACAAAAAGAGAAGAAAAAGTTAGTCAGTTAGCCTGAAGAAAATAAATATATCTTATAACACATTAAAGTTGGATTCACACCTCCAGAATTATTAGAGGACTGGATGTTGCATTAAAATCTGACAGTTCTTGAGAAAGCCTACGCCAAAGTGCTGGACTCCAAATGACTGTCCAACCTCAGACTCAGACGTTATCGTGGCCAACATCAAAACTAATCAAACGGATTTTGGAATGTTCTTTTTTCTCCATGAAAAGTTTTTATTTGGCCAAAAGCTTATAACTGCATAGGCCCGAAGGCGGTCTGAGGATGCCTCCAAACTGTCTCTTTCTGGAGGTGCTCTGGGAGTGAGCAGCTGCTGAAGACACCAGGGAAGACCCAGGAGGCGGGGGGGGGGGGGGATTACATCTTCCAGCTGGCCTCGGAGCGGGCGGAGGATAGTGCTGAGGAGGGGGACATGTGGGCTGCACTGCTCACCCCTTCTGTCACTGTGACCGCAATCAGGCCAAGCAATTAAACAAAATGGATGAATGGATGGATGTTAAAGACCTGCAGATAACCTGTGCTTAGTAAAGTGTCAAGAATGAAAGAAAAAATAACCACTTTATAAGCACATCAATGCTGCAATCCCACAGGGGGAAAACAGCCAGCCACTTCATCTTCAGGACATCAATGAAGGATCAATGATGAATCCATCACATATGAGTCAGGCCTACTGTAGTCCCTGTTGATAATGTATTGTGCCTGGCTTTCTCTGAGGACAAATGGCTTATATGTCTTCAGGGATTGCTAAATCGAGAAATGAAAAGGAGCCTGAGATGTGGACACTAAGAAAACAATTGTATGAATCTACTTTAAATGAGTGACTGATGAAACAAACCATTTTGTAAGGTTAACCTATAATTTAGACAATGAAAGCTTTTAGGAATGAACAGATTGAAATTCAGCCAAACAGGATGAACGATATTGATAACAAAGTACTGAATGCAAGCTGCAGCCAATTGTACTGGCATTCCCCTGAGAGAGTTTTTAAACAACCAAAAATGAGTGATAGTGGTGATTAATATTTCTCCACATTACAGATCACTCCATAGGAGAATCACTTACAGAGCAGGTCTAATAGAGGTAGATACAAACAGATTAAGGGTAATGCTTCATACTCCACTTTGCAACTGTTCATGCTCACAGGCAAGATCAAGAGTTTCCTGAGCCTCTACTCTTATTCCTGTCCATTTAACTGACTTAGATAATTTTGACAAACAGAAGAGGGAGGATGAGACTATAGTCGATAGAGGCGATTGATCCGAGTCGCTCCACAAACACAAACACTTGAAGGCCTGAAGGGGTTCGCATAAAAGCCATTAACATCCATTTCCCTGGCTCAGCACATCAACTGCAAACTAAATTGATTGACCTTGAGCAAAGGCAATAGTAATTGGACAGTAAAATAATGGGCAATTAATCGTACGGTTCAATTATCAATGACAGGAGGTTATTAAAGCTCACAACAGTGATAGTTCCTAGACAGTGGTGATTTGTCGGCAGGACAGCCGCTCCCCAATCCAGTTCGAACAGTTTATAGCTGGGCTATAAGGTCAGCAGAGTTATCTAAAACATCAGTATTTTGTGAAATATGCTCGTTCTCTCTTGTTAGATTTAGATGAGTAATTCACATCGTCACCATGTGGTTACCAGGCCAGAGAAGACTCTAAGAAGGTAATATGTCTGGCTAAGAAACCCCTGCAGACGCTTCCCCAGATAGTGCGCAGGAAGACCAAATGTTTATTGAAAATTACCCAAAGAATGACTCTAAATACATTGCAGGGAGTGATGAGAACAACTTTTAAAGGTTTATAATATATTGAGCTTAATCCTCAGGGCACAAAGCATTCAGGAATCACAGCTTTTTCTTGGTATTACCTCTTGCCACTCCAGAACACCGGTCCATGCTACAATCTTATTGGCCACACTTTGCTGCTGTCCGCTTGGGTTTGCATTGCCTTGAGGTACAGAAACACCAGGCTGTCAAGATAAAAATAAGAAGGGGGGGGGGGGGGCAATTGTTGATTGAAAGTACAAAAAAAAAAAACACATTTTCAAAAAGTGAATAATGGCTGTTCTGATGATTAAACTGGAACGTTATTAGATTAGGCAATTTAGTTTCAAACAACATACAATTCAAAATGATATCAGTAACTAGAAAGAAGAATGACTCAATGAGTTAGGAAAACAGAGGAAAAAACAACACTGAATGTACCCAGAATGCTTTTCTAGGGAGAATGAAACATCTTCAGGGTTTGATATGAACTAACATTTAAAATTCATTCTGATACGAGACTTCAGACAGTGTGTTGTTCTGAGCTGGGGGCTGCTGACGATACAGCATCACAAACTAAAGACTTGGTTGTATGATGTCTATATTGAGCAGGGACATTTACATGTAGAAATATTAATATTATTTAAACATTAAAAAGTGTTTACAAGAGAGAAAGGATACCAAATAAAATCTTCAGCTGGGTGCTGCAGGAACTTAATAGCCCGTAATCTAGGGCTTGGCTTGTATTAAAAAAAACAAAAAAAAACCTGAAGTTATGGGTATTATTTGTTCATCTTGATTATCATGACCTACCATGTTGGGCTGTGCAGAAGGCACGATGGGAAGGTTGACGGGGGGCTGCTGCTGGGGCGGGGCCTGTGGCTGCTGGGGCAGTCCTGGGGGGGGGACAGGCTGCTGCTGATTGGGAGGAACTTGTTGCTGTGGCATCATGGGCTGTGTTGATGTAGTGACGGTTGCAATGCTGGGCACATTGAGCTTCACCCCAGCCACTGATGGGAGGGTTGGCTGTTGGGCGAACGGAGGACCTTGATTGACCATCCCTGGGACTGGAGGGAAAAAGTAAGAACAGATATATCACATGTAAAGCATGAATAGCTTGAAAAAGGAACATTCTAACCCTTGCACTGATTTCGGATGGCTTCTAATCTTTACATATCTAAAGAGCCCGTTATTATTATTATCATCATCATTATTATTATTACTACAAAAACACTCTGCTATATAACGTGTGCAATATTAATAATAATGTGCAATAATAACGTGCAATTAAGTATCCGCCACCACGTTTTCTGCACTATTCAATACTCAATGTACAATTATTTTACAGTTTTTTTATATTAATTATTTGACCTTCTATGTTTCTTGTAGTTATTTAATTAGCTCTTTTCACTGTACTGTTAGTTCACAGTTTTATTATCATGCTGCTGTGTTTATTGTATCTTTGTATCTCTGGAACAACAATTTCCTTCGGGATAAATAAAGTCCTATCTTATCTTATCTTATTATGGGTCCCTCCATGTGAGAATAAGTAGTAGATTTTACAGTAATACAATCTTTAGAAAATTGTTTTCCAGAAAGAGTTACAGTAATCTGTACTGTAGAAACCTACACAGTCACACATACAATATGCAGACAAAGAACCGCCACTAAAATCTTGGCAAACATGAATCATTCAAAGAGTCTACCGGTAACTCACAGCGACTTTTCTGATTGTTGGCTGCCTCCACGGCCATCTGTGCCGCCACCTGAGCAGCAGTCATGGGGGTCGGATTCTGTCAGCAAGCAGATTAAAAAAAGACAATGCTTGGTAAAACGTTTTAGGGAAAAGAACATTAACACCACTGTTTGAAACTAAGCCAAAACCAGGCGACAGAAATTAGTCTCCAGGGAGCCTAGCGCTGTGCGGCTGCTTGCCCGTTACCTGATAAGGGTGGGTCGGGTTAATGGGTGGAGGCGGCTGAGAAGCCCCTCCAAGAGGCTGACTGGGAGCCAATGGCTGAGGAGGGAGGACAGGTTTGAGCGGCCCAGGGCCTCCACCTGAGGAAACTGGAGAGAGGGATGGATTTTTACAATGAGATGGAATTATATGAATGCTTCAATGTAGGAGTAATATTAGGCTTCACTGAGAGTGAAGGATAAGACATATTTACCAAGGATTTCACACCTACTCACAGAAAGTTGTAGGAGTAACATTTAGAAAAAGCTTTTATGAATGCTGAAGCTACCGTCAACTAAAGAATGGCTTAGCATGACCAATCAAATCGTCTTACAGTGGAATTTTATAAAATAACACATGGATATAGGACACAAGTATATTACAACCATATCTATAGTGATGTAATTTCACCTTTTCTTTGTAATTTAGTTATTTTTCAATATTTGCGATATTAGCTGCTAGATTTCCATGTTTCTGCTAGTCGCTAAGTTCATCTTATGTTAAATGCTTGGCAAGTAGTTTACATTAAAAATTATTTTATCAGGGGTGAGATCAGTAAAAAATGAGAAGTGTGAAAGCTATAGCTGTAGGGTTTTGTCTCTGTGTTTTTAACCATATAATGGTGTTAATGGGAATGAAGTGCTTTACTTGTGAATCACAAAAAAACTCTGCTTATTCAAATGCACAGATTAAAATTGGAGGGTCAAAAGAACATTACATCAACCATACAACAAATATTGTTCAACATATCCTCACAATGTCATTCTTTTTAATAACACATTCAATTGAATGCAGAGGCCCATACACAAACAGGTTTCTCACCAGGAAGGGAGATGCCTCTGACTAAGACCATGTGGAAGGGGTCCTGACTGTAGTCTGGATGGGGGTCACCAGCGCCTCCTACTGGAGAAGCCCGCTCAAACAGAGACCGGAGAGCAGGCAGTTTCCGTGGAGCCACAACAGAGAAGTGGATTCCTCTCTGAGAAATATAAAAATCACACAATTTTGTTTAGCTATGTTTATCAAATGTAAACATCACTGATATAACCCTATTCATAAAAAACTAAAATAATAACGTTTGATATAAGTCCCTTTTTGAGACAGTGTAAGTGTAGCCTTTTACGTGTTCATAATTTAACTGTAATGTGTATTTTCTAAGTCTAATGATAATTATTTGATGCAATATTTCAATATTTAGAGTCTTTTATTTTGAAGTCCAAGCTCACGTCTCGTTATGCTGTTCTCGTTTGAGTTAGAGCGAGAACGAGACAAAAAACTGAGAGTAAAATGCACAGACACTTTTACAGCTCCGTTAGTTTAAGTTTATTCTTATAAAGTTGTAAGGACTGAAGAATACTTCCCTCAGTTTTCAGAGCATGCAGCCAACGAGGTATGTTGTTGTGTTTGTATTTATTTTACGTTTATTACTTTGCTAAACTCATCTCACATGATGTGTATGTTATTGTGTGTGTAACACGATACTATGTTTGTCATTTATACTGTTTGTTTATGTGTAGTTTTCACGGTGGATTCGAAGAGGAATAAAGCCACTTGTGTCTGCCTGTGCTTCGAGGGAATTACAGACAGTTTAGGTGGTAACTCACATCTCTGATGATTTTGACCAAGTTATCTGCCGTGCAGCCGGTGTAGCTGACACTCTCCACAGCAGGAAGCAGGTATGGAGGAGAGTTACACAGCAGAACACACACCTTGTGGGTTTGACCTCTGGCAAAGAAGAAAAAGAGAAAGCAAAAAGAGTTAGCATTTCTAGTGGGAGTAAATCCCATAGTGAGTCACTCTCTAGAGGGCATCAGATGATTTACAGGTGATTTTGGGAGGCTTTATTACTCGCTTTTGGTTGTTGCCATTAAAGAATATTAATATGTATATGTATTGAACAGGGAGACCTTTCAATTAACTGTCTCACTGAGCCAGTACTTTAGTATTATCAAGTCAAACATAATACAATTGTCCTTTAAGAAGTCTTTAACCTTGATCGCTCCCAAACTGTAATACACTAAGTGTTAAATCATTTTAAAGGAGCAATCGTTTAGTAATGATCCTTCCATTAGTGGGAAATGATTCTACTTTAAAAAATGTGTAAACTGTTCAAAGGAATTAGAGAGCAGTGTGAAAAAAGGCTGCTTTACATTTGCTCCCTCATCTTCTTAAAGTCATCAAACAGCTGCAAGGCCACAGAGAGTCCCTCTGCTATCAGACTGCAGCTTTCTGCTCCACCTCCCATGAACCTGTGTGGACAAACAGCATCATATTTACGATTAGGAAGATAATGCTGTCACATTTATCTCTGTGACGATAAACAATGTCAACTTTTGATATCAAGTAAACATGATAAAGTTACTGGATGCTGTCGATCCATGAGACAAACTCAAAGGCAGAGCTGGTTGGTGCGTGACACTGCACATATGACTCTGGAGCGCAGTCTACTGTGTTGAACACCACAAGACCGTACTGTGTCCCTCCATACTACAAGGACAAAAGAAAAACAAGCAATGCAATTAACAAGCATTTTGTCTCCCAAGGGTTGCCAATCAACCCATTTTCAATGTATCATAAAAAGAGGGAAACACTCACATCTCCACCAAAATCTGTTTCTGCTGGGGGCCCTCCATTGAAATATCTATAGGGAATAAAATAAAGCATTTAGACATGACAACCTGAATAATAAAGGAATCAGTTAGCAAATCTTCGTAATCTTACTCAATAGCTGGAAGTATATAATTTTTCCGTAGAGATTCAAAGTAAGGTCCGAGGTTCGCCGTCCCTTCTATAACAAACACCACATCAGCCACCTGATTGGTCCCAGGCTTTGTGGATGGCTCCATGAGACCATGGATCTGGGCAAGAGGAGGAGGCAGATTTAACATGTACAATGAAAGAAGAAAAAGGTATCATTTATATTCTAAGTTTAGGTTGTCTCAAAAATGAGACAGCAGTGAGATAAGCAGCACGACTCAACAAGCATTCATGCTTTCCGATATTCATTACTATTAATTGCATGGGAAATCTGGAACTAAATTAGGAAGGACTATTTTCTGGAAGGGAGAAAGGAAAAACATTTTTTTGTTCATTTTAGAACTTAATTATACAACATTTACTGCAGTGCAAAAATGAGAACGAACCATTTATACGGTAGTGTTTGTCCTCAAAAGTGTGCTTCCCTGGTCCATAAGCATTTTTAACTCCAATGTACAATATGATGACTTTAAAATCTTCTGGCTCTAATTGAATAATTTAAAAAAATGTCTAGTGCAATAATTGCAATCATACGAGTGCAAAGATAACATATATTATTCTGCAAGAATTACATTTTTAATAGCGCAATAATTACATTTATCAAGTATTATCATAACAAAGACCTGGAGTTAGTCTGCAGAGCAAAACTGGATGCATTCAGAAATACAAATCTTTACAGTTTTGAAAGAGAATTTGAACTTCACGCAACAATCACAGTAGACTCTAGATTCATACAGTATGTTATCATTCAACCTCAACTGCAAACTTTAATTATTTTACGAGTTTAACAACATTTGGTAGCTAAAGATCCACGTTTAACTCAACGACGATCAATACATGATACATGATCAATACAGGTTCAACTAAGATTATTAATAACAACATGATCATGACAGCTGGTAATTCTCAATAGTTTAACATAATACATGAGGTTACTGTATGTATGATAATATAGATTAAACTGAAGCATTGACACTCTGATATAATTCCATCACACAAACATACCAGTGGAAAATTAAATTGTATTTTACTTAGAATCTAAGAAGTATAGGCTGCTTTAAGAACAGAGCTCTGGATGCTTGTCTGCTGAAGTTGTTTAATTTTTGAGTTTTTTCCTGTTCCTTTTAACTTAGCAGGAGTCGAGCTCCTTGTTTGGTTGTATTCGGTACAATATCAATACATTATTTTTTTAAAAGGGTAAAGTTTTATCAACCTATGATATTTTTTTACAATTAAATTATGTTTGTTAACTCAAGTTCTGCTGAACCCCCAAAAAGAAAGGCAGCTGAAGAAACACAGCACCGGGGCTAAGCTAGCCTTGCTAACATGTTAATATTATTCTAACCTTACTCACAGCATAGGATCGTTTATTTATATTATAGGCCTTTTTCAGTGTAAACGAAAGCAACATCACTTTGCACAGCCAAACTGGACAGAGCTTCATTCTCAGAGTTAGCTGTGTAACATTAGGTACGTCAGTGAGCGATATCAGCACAATGGTTAAAATAATCTTAACTAGCCAGCGATGTATCTATACATGCATGTGGTGTAGAAGCGGACTGACCTGGTGTTGTACTGAAACCAGTCGAATCGCAGTTTTGCTTAGCTAAACACACATATATCGTTTGATAAGTTTGAATTAGCTCTCACATCACGGCATGCTAACATTTAACCCATTTGTTGTATTTTTGACGGAAGTGACAAAGAAAGCACCCGCCCACAAAATGTGACGTCACGAAGTCTTGCTCGTCCTTTTTTTCAGACGAGTGCTGCCTCCTACAGTTCAAAATATTAAAAAACAGATTACTTATTTTATGTGTAAATAAGATGTGCAGCATCCATGGATGTAGACAGACCATCAGCATTCGTCCTTTTGTTCTTGATCATGTCGCAAGTACGGTAAGTTTGTATAGCACCTTTCCATACCAAGGCAATTCCAAGTGCTTTACATGAGATATATAAATGAAGATAGTTGAATTGAATGAAAAGGGGCATAAACAAGGCCACAGTAAAGCACAAATAAATACAATAAATAATAACCATAATATTTTAGGGTTTAAAACAAAAAAAGAATATACAATTAAAGATGTCAATGTGGAAATTGAGAAACTAATTATTCTATTAATCTAGATAGAACATCATTGGCATTCAAAGTAGTTACAGTGCAGTGTAAGAAATGAATGAATCAACTCAAAAAACTGAATTGACTGTGAAGGGCAAAGAAATAAGAGCTCATAGGATTACCTGATGTTTGGGAGGTTTAGTGCTTTAAAAATAAATTGTAAATATGTTTTGACACCCAATAAGTCAGTGCTAAGAACTGAGAACTCAAATGGTGTGTTCCACTGATCAGGTTTTTATTGAGATCCGTAAAAAAAACATTAGCAGTCATGCACTCATTAATTAAGATACAAAATATAAATGTGCAACCCCATTTTACTAAATTTAGATGACAGCCTGAAATTATTTCGCTAAACTGGTAGCTTTCTTTTGGTTCTTGTGCATAAGCTTCAGATTTCAGATTCAATGTGTTTAATTCCCGCATGTGGCTGCACTTAGCTAGCTGACTACAAAGGCACCTACAGCATTAGATGCCCACATTAAAAGGGAATGAAGCTTTGAGGCGTGAGATTATCACTGAAGGTTATCTTGGCTTAAACCTTTTAACCTCACTCTTTGAAAGTGCTCTGCCAGTTAGTCATGAGAAATGTCATCTGTTATCACATCGGCCTCAAATCCATCTAATGGAGGCGGCTGTGGCTCAGTGGATAGTGTGCTGGACTTCGAATCAATCAAGTTCGAGTCCCACTGCAGTCAGCATGTCGTTGTGTCCCTGGGCAAGACACTTCACCCCAAATTGCTCCTGTGGGGATTGTCCACAGTACTGAATGTATGTAAGTCGATCTGGATAAAAGCGTCTAACAAATGACATGTAATGTAATGGCCATCCTGAAGTATACAGAGCTGTGTGCTTTCTTTAAGAGTAAATCTACACGATACTTCACATAATCCACACACATTATCATCCATTTCATTCTATTGTAAATTAAAGATCATGTTCAGATTTGTCTTGTAAAAAACAACACTTGGTTACAGCTTTAACTGTGGAGCTAAGACTGGTCTGATGCCCAGTCTGGAGGGGAGATATTTTAATCATAAACACAAACATAATCCTTGCGTTATGTAGCCAGCAGCAGGAAGGATGCTATAGTCATGCCTAGAATTCACTGAATATTGACATCACATACAGCCATTCAGTTTATGTCTGAAACATGCAGTGTTTAAGTATACGTTTCCTTGTGTCCATAAGAAAGTCATAGAAAAAGAAAAGAAAAATCACACAAGTAGAATAAGGACTCCTGAGAAACATGATGGGATGTAGCTTGTCAACCATAAAGGTATTTTTACATTTCTTAAGAGATTACCTATATGTCAAGGCAGAGTTTGAAACTTCATGACGTGGTTATTTAAGACAAACAAACAATTATATTGTGAACAATTAAGCATGTAAGGCTTTTGATATGTTATATTCTCTTTATGTTATGGCAGCTCCGCCCCAGACTAGGTGGATTTTAGGCCAAACTATCACATTACAAAGAAAATATAGTTAATTCCTCTTTTATGTTTGAAAAATAGCTCTGCAGTAACACTGGATAGTTTAAAGTGCTATATAACCTTATCTCCAGAAGGTGTCAGCAAATATCTACAAGTACAGTAGATGCCTGTTTATCACAGAGACAAGGTAACAGATTGTTACTCAAAGGGCTTTGAGATTGTTTACTGAGTATTTATATGTTGTATATATTTAGACTAAGTGAAGCTAATAACCATGAGATAATATTTTCCTTAACTTTAAATATATCGTCTAACCATTGTCTTATGATATTTAAATCACATACCATTTTTGTGATTTATTACTGAGTCACTGACCTGGTTGTCAGGTTTAGCTGGTTAGCATGTTTCCCTATCCTAGTTATTTCCCTAAATCCTTCTTTCTCAACACTTGCTCATCCTTTGCAAAACCTCAGAGCTCAAAATAGAAACATAGCAGAGGTAACCAGCATGCCCTACTGTCAGATCAGCCCAATGCACCACGTCTAACCTGTAGTCGTAACATTGGTGCACTGTTTCTGGGTTCAACAACAGCCTCTAGTCCCCTGTGGCCCTTCAGCTCAGCACAGCGCTCAACAAAAGGCTTCAGAGCTCATCAAACTCAAAACCTCCCACAGTAACAACGCTCCATATCAATTAAACCCAAATCCTGGGGAGGGCAACAAGCTGTGGGCTCAAGCAGCTTTTACATTCGGGCATCACTAAGCAGGAACGCTTCCAACGACCGAGAACTTCTTTTGAGGGAAGGTTTATGCCCAAGGCTTCCCCCGGTTGCAAAATGCTTTTTTTATTCTCACTGAGCTACATCTACATGGCTAAATTAAACAGACAGAATGTTTTGCGAACATGTATGTGTGTTTGTGTGTGTGTGACAGTGCATGCGTAGGCACCCTCTCACTTTGCAACTCTGAGGCTTTCTGCTTCTCTGAAGGATATACTGTGTGTCTCGCTGCTTTGAACTTCAACACACACATAGCCAGCAATTACAGAAAGCCTGCTCTGCGGGAGCACCTTTTGGAAAACCAAACAATGTTTTCACTTTTTTTTCCCATTTTGTTTTTGTTTGGTCAGAGAATGACATAATAAAATATGAATGAGAAATATGGTCGGTGTCTCTGAGCTCCATGTCTGCGAGGTCCAGGTGGCGAGGTATGACAATTCGTCTCCTGACCGCGGCACCCAGCTGGGACGCTGAGGGCCAGATGGTCCGCTCACAACAGGTAATCACAGCCAGCATGCTGATGCACTGACATCCTCACAAATGGGTTACCAGAACTACCCAGAGCATTTGGGACGCTGTGATAGTATCCCCTCCCCTGGCTGTCTCTGGGGCCTTTTCTATCGAGTCTGGCACCGGTGCTGTGTATTTTGTAAATAAATCCACATTCATAAATTCCCCTGTAGCTGTACTCATTCCAGGCCATGAGTGCATATAATGTCAAATGATGTTTCACAAAAGTTTCTGTTTGTGAAGTGAATATCATTTAGTCCTTTCATGAAAGCAATTTATAGCAAAGGTCAGATGGGGCCCAGCTCCTGTATTAAAACTCCGCTCCCCTGCAGAGGCAAGCTACTTTAATAATCCTACTCCTTGAGGTTTCCACTTGCATGAATTCATTGAATTAATTATTTTTGAAAGGTTTTGGTTATTATTTATAGTCTCGAAATAAAAAGTTTAAAACTGTATACGTGGCATTGTAAGTGTTTTAAAAAAAGGTTGGCGTGTCTGTGCGCAGCGCTTTCAAGATGATGATGATGGGAAAACAAAAGTTTCTCAAGAGTCACGAAAGGTATCAGCATGCAGGTAGTGCAGGTAGGGTCATTGTATAATGTGAATGTTACATAAATATGTACTGTAGGCCTACATGCGGAAGATAATTGTTATACTAAAGTATCACCAAAAGCTATTGTATTTGTCTTTAATAATGCAGTGGAAATCATTATCATTATGGATAATAATCAGATACACTAATTAGCAATAAGAGCTAATGTCCTTCTGTCAGCTTTAAATAAATCCCTCCAGTACAAACAGCTCTATATTGCACACACCTCCCCCAGTCTCTAACTTGCTCCCCCTCCCTCTCTGCCTCTTTCAGCTCACTGAACTGAGTGAAATGTCTTTCCGACTAAATGATTTTTTTTTTTGCACGGTGGGAACGTTGCCATAGAGACAGCAGCCCCCCCATCCCCCCACCCCACCCCATCCCTCCTTCCACTTTTCTCTCTCAACAGTCTACAGCATTATGTGCTAACTGGTGCGTTGTCACGTGTGTATGTGCACGTGTGTGTGTCTCACTCTTTGTGAACCGTCAACACTGTCAGTGTGCTGCAGCCAGGTGCCCCATGATGAGTGTGTCTATATACAGAACTATCCTCCTCTACATCCTGTCTCCACTTGTACTCATACACACACACACACACACACACACACACCGCATGCAGCTTCCACTCTCTTGTCCAGGTTTTCCCATTTGCGTCCTCCTCCTCCACTCTAGCATCTCCCGCTCTTCATCCTCCTTCATCTGTTTAATCCTCTCCTACTCCTCCCTCTCTTCCATTCCCCTGCTCAGTCTTCCTCCTCTGCTGAAGCGCTGGAGTTGCAGATTGCTCCATGGTGTGCTTTTTCGCATTAACAAGAGATAATAACCACATGACAAATAACATGACGTTTTAAAAATAAAAAGGGGGACAAATAGGAGCAGTGAGGCCAGATGGAGCTAAGCACACGGGGCAGGCAGCCGTGCTCCATTTTGCATTTAGGCAAAAATACGGCCATTATAAAGAATTCATGACAAAGTGGCTGAATAATTACACACGACTTAATGCACAGTAGAAAGTCAGAGAGCTTAGTGATACAAAAAAAAATTGAGTTCAGGCTGCTTCTGTCCAGGTAGAGTGTCTTACCTCCCATGCCTGAGTCACATATAGACTGTACATCGGAAATGCCCAGGGCCTAGCATGTTATATATATATATATATATATATATATATATATATATATAGCTCACTGCCTGGGATGTGTGACAGTAGCTTCACCCCCTCTCCTGCCTCCCAAGCCAGTGGATTAAAAGAACTCAGAAACACAAAGCTG